TGCTGGCATCCCCTGTTCTATGGCTGAATCCCATTTTCTTCTCTTCCAATAGGCGGAGCTGTGCCCTCTGAGCCGAGCTTCTGCCCTCTATGTGCTGACAGAAATCCCTGTACAGTGGCTCCTGGGAGTCTCTCAATCCTGTTAGTCCAGAGCCCTTTCACTTATCCGGCCCCTCCCCCTGTTCCTCCTCCCAGCCAGCCAGCCAGGTCCTGTTCACCAGAGGCGGTTCCCCAAGGATCTGATTACACTTGCAGCCCTACTGCGTGTCCTATATCCCGAATGATGAACACCCTCTCTGTCATTCGTCTAAGCCCCAGTGCTGTGGTGGGGTGATCTGGGAACCAACAGTTTAATTTTTCCGGACCCCTTTGGTGGGCACGCCCCCAGAAACTGGCGGCTAAGATCTTGGGTGTCGCCGCTGGTGTTAAGGGGAGGTGGGGATCTGGAATCCCCTCTGCTTCCCTACAGAGAGATTCCCGAGATTTCCTGGCTGCTTGTATCTGGAGGGGGTGGGAGTCACACACCTGCTAACGTGGATTCCGCTGGGAAGGAATTCTGTCGGCGGAACTCTGGTGATGTCACCTCTCTGCTATGGCGGGCCCCAGGCTCCTTGCTGGAGTGTCCGAAGGGAGGGGTGGGACTGGTCTGTCTCTGGTTGGTTTCAGCTCCTGGTTCGCTATTTCATGAAGGCTTGGCGAGAGACCTCTTCCTAGAGTCCCTGCACCGCTCCTGCTGCGCTGCGCCTCGGAGGCTATCCGCCCTGACGCGGGGGCCACGTGCAGGCAGCCGACAGTCGCCGAGTCGCGCGGGCAGCAGCTGGCGGGTCTGGACCTCTGCGCTGCGTGGCGGAGATTCACTCGTCTAGCGCAAACTGTCACCTCCAAAAATCCTACCGATTCCCGGCCAGTCTCTCTTTAGTGGAATTTTGCTAGGAGTTTCTCAGCAGGTCGAATCTAAGCGTATCCATGCGTCTCTCTGACCCCGTTGTTGAGGAGGTACTGAAAGCGCTGCCTCCCCTCTCGCCGCCATGTTGGATCCCCTCCTGTGTCAGGATCCTTGATTTGATTACATTTGTAATCAAATTTATGACCTATTTACGAAAAAAAAGGTCCAATTCTCTGGTTCCCAGTGGACATGAAACCTTGGATGACTATTCAGCCCAGTACAAGAGGAGACTGTCAGACGCTTACCCAGAACACTGCCTTTACAGAGTTTCCCAGACATAAGCCCTCTTCCAATGTTGGGCTACATGTTGTGCACACCCCCTCCAATTCACCCAGCCCCCAAAGGGATGATATTAGGAGGTGGGGATTTTTTTTCAGTATTTTTTTTAGTTGTAGATGGACACATATCTTGGTTTTATTTATTTATTTTGATGTGGTGCTGAGGATCGGACCCAGTGCCTCATGTATACGAAGCAAGCGCTCTACCACTGAGCTACAACCCCAGTCCTAGGAGGTGGGGATTTTTGCAGATAATTAGATAATAAGGAAGAAATCCCCATGAATAAAAATCAGTGCCCTGATAAGAGGAATCCTGATGACTCTCTTGCTCTTTTCTACTACATGAGGACACAATGAGAAGTCAGCAGCGTGTAACTCAAAAGAAAGCCCTCACAAGAGCCCAGATACGATGCTGGCTCCCTGATCTCAGGCTCTCAGCCTCTAGAACTCAATTCGTCATTTATAAGACACCCAGTGTGGGACGCTTTGTTACAGAAGCCCTCAATAATTAAGATGGTGGTGCTGGAGCTTAATAATATTTTGAACTGCAAAATAGTTCAGAAAAGTACTTAATAGCTATGCAAACTTAAATATCAGGACTACCGCCTCCTGTAGGAGGCTACAACATAAATCAGGAGGAAGAATCAAGAGCTGGGCCTTTGGCTTGGTTGATCTGTCCACTCTTTGGTGACCTGCAGGTGACAAGCTGGCACTGCTCAGACCTCTTCCACTTCAACCCTTTCTTGCGTGGGGCACAATTTTCTAGCATGAGCTTCCACTTGATATCAAGGGCTTCTCTCTCCTCCAACTTAGAAGGGAGAGCTGGGCTGTAGCTTCTGTTCTTCCAGGTTCCCAGGTAGAGGGGACATGAACTTTTACTTTCTGATTAGGGAGGATATTAATGTTTTGTCCTAGAAATAGGAATAGGAGGCTAGTGTCCTCAAGAACTTGCCCTGAACATGTCTTGTTTGGCCAGACTCCTCACTTCTCCAGCATGACCTTGACTCTGTCTTGACCTGTACACAAAGAAAGAGAATTCACCATTTTCCTGCCATCCTCACCCCTGGCCTAAAAATATGAGTTTGAGCTTCTCCAACATTTGTGTATGTACCTCATCACCAGGAAAATTTATTTCTTTTTGAGAATTCTTGTTTGGTCTATATTAAAAATCCCTAATCCTCGTTTCTGGAGCAATAATGACCTCAGCCTTGTCAAGCATTTCCTAGTCCCCATCCTCCACACCCCCCTCTCCTCCTCCTTCCTGCCCTGGTCATAAAACAATGCCTCCAACAACCAAAAGCCAGGTGCCCTTCTAGTTTCTCCCTGATCATAGATTTCTTCACTTACCCTAGAAAGGAAGATCAAAGGAAAATGTCTGTTATCCCTGGATGCCAATGATTTTGGTAAACCCCTGGGATATGGTGATAGCATAACAAGATGGCTACAAGATGTTACAGAGGAAAAGGGCTGGTCCCCAAACCAGACAGAACTGGGCTCAATCTGAGGTCTCCATTTGTCTTGCTGAGTAAACTTGCAGAAAGGATGCCCCCATGCCCTGATTTTAAACGGAGATAGCAATGCTCTACTGGAGAAAGCTAGATGAGATAATGGAAAACTTCTTACACTGCAAAAGCTATACAAATACACAAGATTGCTCCTATTTTTCAATGTGGGCACTTCCAATTTCTTCCTATGTGAAGCAATTGTTCTATCTGCATCCAGCACTGCCAACCCACCCTTGGTTTCTTTGGTTTGCAAAGCTGTTGACAAGCCCATTGGAAGGCAGATGTGGACAATCAGAACAAGGACTTCAAAGTGGACAGCCAGCACCATTATCATGATGATGCTTGGCATAATTTCTGGAGATGCACTTCCTTCCTGACCATCCTTTCTCAACAATTGCTTTCAGGTCCCCTTACTGAATGATTATAACCTGATCCCCAATTTGGCTGCATGCCAAAGATAATCATCTCCACCAGCTATAATATGGGAAGCCTGTCGAACCTCTACTACACTCACCCTTTGAATAAGGAAAGGAATTGAGTGCATCACCAACAGATGTGACCAAATATGTGGCATGAAATACTGGAATCCACTAGGAATTCCTATCATTTTATTGGACATGGAACAATACTAATTAAAAATAATAATGAATATCTATTAACACAGAATAAGCATCCCTAACCCAAAATTCCATAACCAAATGCTCCAAATCTAGAATCTTTTTGAGGGTTGGCATGACACCAGTAAAAAATTCACATCTGAACTCACGTGACAGGTGTTGTCAAACAGAAGACACACTAAGTATTGTATAAAATTACTTTCAAGCTATGTATATGTAAGACGTATAGGAAACATGAATTTGTATTTAGACTTGGGTCCCATTCCCAAGTTATCTCATTATACATATGCAAGTATTCCAAAATCTGAAATCGAAAACACTCCTGGTCCCTCACACTTCAGATAAAGGGCTCTCAAAGGAACTTCCAGAGCATGCCAATATTCTCTTTAACTTCTGTGAAACAATCAGAGTTCTCCAGAGAAACAACCTAGGAGAGGGAGGGAAGAAGAGGGCGGGTGGGAGGCAGAAAGAGGGAGAGAAGGGAGAGAGAACTTGAGGAATTGGCTCATATGACTGTGAGTCTGGCAAGTCCAGATTCTCTGGATTGGGCCAGCAGGCTAGACACAAGAGCAGGATTTCTATCTTACTATCATGACTAAATTCCTTCTTTCCTGGAAAATATTCAGTCTCTCCTTCTAAAGCCTTCAACTGACTGAAAGAGGCTCATTCACATTATCAAAGCTAATCTGCTACGCTTAGAGTCAACTGATTATAGACGTTGAATCAATCTGCAAAATACACTCCCAGCAACATCTAGATTAGTGTTTGACCAAACAACTGGGCAACGTATCTTAGCCACATGGACACATAAAACTGACCATCACATCCTGGGAAAGGCTTTTGTAAGCCCTTTTATATGAGGACATCGAGACTCCCAAAATTTAGATGATTTATCCAAAAGGAGATGGAATTTGGCCCCAGGTGAAAGACATTAAAGCCCTTGCTCTCTCCACTCCATCACATTAAGCTCTGGAGAGACAACTGAATTTGTTAAATAAGATAAATATAAAATGTTCCTAGGGAAAAAAAAGGTTATTAGGAAAAGATAATACTTATTTTCTGCATAAAATATTATGAGTGGAAAGAAAAGAGTTTGACTAATGTATTAGTCAGCTTTCATCACTATAACAAAATAGCTGAGAAAAGGGTTATTTAGACTCAAGGCTTTGGAGGTTGCAATCCAAGATCAAGTGGCCCCATGTCATTGGTCCTATAGTGAAGTGGCACATAGTGGGGTGAAGAGCAGAGAGACAGAGCATGCTGCTCACCTCCTGAGCCAGGAAGCAAAGAAAAAACAGGAAGAGAAAGAGACCAGGGTCCCACAATCCCCTTTGAGCGCATGTGTTCAATGACCTCAGGACCTCCCAGTAGGTCTCATAACAGTTCCACCACCTCCCAAAAGTCCTACCCTGAGAACCAAGCCTTCACACCTGGACCTCGGCAGACATCTATCCACGCCATAGCAACTGACTCCATTGTAATGCATGTCTTCAGTCTTGCTGCTGAGCAGCATTGGTACCACCTTGGAGGTTGTAAGAAATGCTGAATCCCAGACCCCATCTACACCTACCGAGTCAGATCCGTCTTCCTGGCAAGAGCCTCAAGTGTGCTCATTTTCTTTATCTGTGTAACAAATTACCATAAACATAGTGATGGGATACAACACTATTTATTAGCTTGCGGTTCAGTAGGTCAGTGTTGGGAGCAGTATGGATTAAGAGTTGGCTGGTTTCTGTACTCAAGAATCTTACAAATATGAAATCAGGGTGTTGGCCAAGCTGGGCTCTTGTCTGAAGGCCTTGCAGAGAAATCGGTGTCAGGCTTATTGAGGTTGCTGGCAGAATTTATTTTTACTGCCTCACATTGCAGAACTGAGATGCTTCCTTCTCCGCTGGCTGGGAGCCGGCTCACTTGTCTCCTAGAGACTGCCCACGTTCCTTCTCATGTGGACCCCTCCAGGTTCAAAATCACAACGCACACTGAGTACACTTGCCTCGAATCCTCTGCTTCACATCTCTCGGACAGCCTGTGCCACCGCCAGCTGCAGGAAGCTCTCTGCTTGTAGAGGCTCACGTGATTCTGTCTGTTCCCTCCTGTGAAATCAATGGGAGCATATACGATAAGACATCCCTGGTGATGATTCACCTCATTCACAGGCTCCTGGGATGAAGGTGCAGCCCTTCTGGACTCCCCAAAAAGATGTCCTCCCCTAATTCCCTGGGAGTCTGGAAGGTTACCTTTGAATTCCACCTACCACATCCATGATTCTCATGAAAGTGTGAGAAGAGCTATTTTACAGTGTTTAGAATCATTGATTCATTCACACTGTCAGTTCTTAAACCGCATGGCACAAGGAGCCATCACAAAACAGGTTACAGATGCAGTGCAAAGACTGAACTTGTGTGTACCATCTCATTAAATGCTCCAAGTCGTGCCCAAGGTTACCTGGCTGTGCACAGAACAGCTGGTATCTAAACCAAAACCCCTGATTAAAAATCAAGCGTATTTTCTCCCTTTCTCTTTCTTCCAAATAGCATTTCTACATAATCAAGAGGTATTAAGCTCATTTTTATTGAAGCACAAGTGACTGAAAGAATAAACTATAAATTTTTTCAATAATTAGGGGGTGACTTGCTGTGGGACAGGCTTCTCCTAATGAATGAGATGAACTGAAATCCCTGTCTACACGGGGGTGGCATGTCAACAGTCAGGTGGCAGCTGGACACTCCAGGCGCTGATGGCACACGTGACTGTGGCTGGTCTAGAGGTCCAGGAAACCCTTCCAGAGGGGTGTGACATTCATAGGAGCAAATAGGCACAGATGGCATTTAAATGACTTTTGAGGAGATATTCTTGGATCAGGGACCTTTCTGCAGAAAGGCCTCAAACCACACCCGAGGGCGGCGACGTGGGCAGGAAACAGGGACCTGGCCTCGGTGCCATCATTGGGAAACCTCTTTGGAGTAAAATAACGATGGCCCTTTGGTTCAAGGATGCAGCCCTAGAAACAGCAGTGAGAGGTGAGAGGGGACTCATGAAAGGGGAGTCCAGAGAGCCGGAAGCCATCTCCTGGCAGCAGTGCTCAGCTCTGGGAACTGGGGCTGGGTGAGCGCTGGACCGAAGCACGGGGCAAAGGCTGGTGGCATCAGAGTCGGCCAAGAAGAGGTGGCCAGGAGGAACTCTGTGTTGACAACTTTCTACACAGTCCCACCTCCTGCCTGGAGGGCAACTGGGCTCAGTAATGGACTGGACCCCTCCCAGCTTCGGACTCAAGTCCTGCTGAGAAAAGGGAAGCAGATCCTTCACTCCGCCATCAGCTACTTTCTCTTTCGACATTTTAACAGCTCGGATGGAAAGCTCGTGGGGACCCAGTTTCTGAAGCCTGGTGAGTCACGTCATGAAGCTAAATGATGCCACCTGCATACTTTGTTTCATCTGGAAGACTTTTAAAGTCTTTTTTTTTTTTAAATGGAATCTGAGCAGCTGGTCACCAGATGCCAGTCTCCACCCTCTGAGTTATGTTGGCAGCTTATAGTTGGGATAATTTAATGACCAATCCTCACAGAATTTGGTGCTTAGTTACTTCGAGGCTACACTTTTACTGTTATGTGGCATTTAAATCCAGGACAAGTGAAAGCTTTAAAAAAAGGGATAAAGGTGATCAGAAAAATAGTCCCAAGGACAAGGTGATAGGACGCAACAAAAGTTTTGGAATTTTCAGTATTAAACATTGTGCCTAGGCAAGTACACACATTAAATATATAAAATAAGACCATCTTACAGGTAATAATTCAAAACAGCTTGCAATGGCACAATTCAAGACTTTCTAACATTTTTCAGACATATGTTTGTGGTACAATGAACCGAGGGCACCCCAAGTCATGTTTGGAGATCAGTACATAGTTATAATTTTTTGCCAACAATTGTAGCCTTCCCTGCTCAGGAGAGCAGAGGCGAGCTGATGAGAAAGGTGAGAATTCTCAAGTTTATTGCAGAAATTATCCCCTAGAATTTTTTTTTCCTTTCTAAATCAACTTTATTTCACACATGATAAAACACGGCCATCTCACATGTACAGATCCATGAGCTGTAATAACGTCTACCATGATAACTCCAACCAATGTCAAGATGTGGAGTGCTCCCACAACTCCAGAACCTTCCCAGAGCTCCTGACCTCCACCTCCACCCCAGCCTACTCCAGACAACCTCTGACCCCTGTGTCAGTAGGGACCTGTTTGGCCAGTTCCAGAATTTCATGTAATTGAGTTGTTACATCATATTCTTTTGTGTCTGGCTTCCTAGTGGTTTTAATTCATCCAAGTAACATACAGCAAATATCAGCTTTCTTTTTTTTTTTTTTCTTAGTACTAGTCCATTGTAGGGATTGACCTTAATTTGCTTATCCATTCACCTATTAATGAACATTTGTGGGTTTTTTTTTTCTAATTTTATTGCCTAACAGTGTTCTTTCATACAGATATAATATGAATGTATTACAAATCATTTATTCACTTAAAGAAGGATATTTTTATTTCCAGTTTTTGTTTTTGCTATTATGAGCTAGGGAAAATACCTCTTAAAGTCCTGCCACTGCACAGTCTTTGACATTTTACCATGAAAGGAGGTGTGTAGTGTTACCTTCACAATATTTTTAATTTGCATTTCCCTGATGGCATGAACATTTAATACATTTTTCAAGATTGGAAGAGAGGAGACCCGGAGTCTCACAAAGAGAGAAGCTGAGTGGGTAGAGTTTCCATACTCCAATGTGTCCAGAACAGTCCCAGTTTACACCTAGTGGCCTGGTGTTATTACCAACAGCATCCTATATTAATCAGAGTGGGCTGCCATAACAAAATACCATAGACTGGGTGACTTCAGCAACAGGAATGTATTTTCCATATTTCTGAAGCAGAGAGGTTCAAGATCAAGCTACCAGCTGATTCGTGTCCCTAATGAGGGCTGTCTTCCTCTCTGTGTCCTTGCCTGTCCAAAAGAGGAAGCAAGCAATTCCAGTGCTTCCTTTTACATGGGCACTAATCCCATCATGAGGCCATCCTCACGACCTCATCTGAACCCAATTACCCCAAAAAGATCCCATCTCCAAATGCCATCGCAGTGGGGGGTGCAGGCTTCAGCATAGAATTTGAGGAATGAACACAATTGAATTCATTGCAGGCTTGTAATGGCAAACTTGGATTAAATTTTGCTCTTTAGTGTGTGAATTGGTCAGCTATTCCTTATCATAGCAAAATACCCGAGACAAGTTAACTTATAGGGAAAAGAAGTTATCTTTAGCTCAGAGTTCTAGAGATTTGAGGATATGGTAGCAGCCTCAAATTGACTCTAGTGAGGACTTTGTGGCAGATGGTAGAATTTGTGTGGGAAAAAGGATCATATGGTGAGTTAGGAAGAAGAGAGGGGCAGAGGCCAAGTTTGCTCCTTTTATAACCATCCTCTCTTGTCAAGAGGCTGCTCAAGAAATACCTTGATCTTTTTCAAGGACAGGCTCCCAATGACCTTATGATCGCCCCAAAGGTCCTGCCTCTTAAAGTCCTGCCACTGCCCAATAACACCACCCTGAGGACCACGCATCCTACACATGGACCCTTGGAGGACTCCCAATCCATATCCAAACCATGGCCCTGTGTGATGCAGTCTTTGCCAACATTTACCCTCAAAACTTTTCATAAATGTACCTTTCTTGTCAATATGCTTGAAGCTGGATTTTTATTAATAACTTAAGTTCCAAGAGCAGAATTTACCCAACAAGAATTCATCATATTCACACTACAATTTGATAACATTAAAAAGTGTGCATTTTTATATGCTTTGTATTGTTGAACAATTGGCTTTCTTCTAAATACAGTCAAGGACTTTGGTTTTAAAAAAGAAGCTTGTACCATAAAGTATGATGCAAATTTAAAGAACCACTGTTATCAGTGAGAATATATTATACCAAGGCCTGGCTAACCCTAAAATAAGTTTGAAGATTTATCCTCTCACACATTTGTGTAACATTTTATTTTGACCCTTTATGAATTGAAAGAATCACACTCCATAATCAAGTCTAAGTTTATCTGTGAAAGCAAAACAAAAGTTAAGCCAAGGATTCGTCCATCCCTGAAACCAAATCCAAGCATCAATGTTTTCTTGATTTTCTTCCCATTTCCTCTTTCATTCTGGCAATAAACTACCATCAAAATGCAATCATTTCAGTCTCTCCTGGTCTATCTCTTTCCTTGTTAGGATTCATGATATACAACATCCTGTCTCAAGCACTGTATCTGGTAGCATTTAATGATTGTTTGAAAGTGGATAAAAACCTGCATGCATGACTTCAATTTGCTGAAATTTGACCGCATTTTCACAATACAACTTTTGTGGCTTCGTTTGGTTATTTTTTAAGTAGGTATATAAACACAAAATCCTATGGGAGGCACCACGGGTATTAGAAAGCTATGAGGAAGTTCAAGACATGATTCCAGCTCTTGAGAAACTTATACTTTAGGACAGGAAAAAAAAAAGTCTCATGCATGAAGAAATATGACATAAAGCAGAAAACGGTAAGTACCCTGTGAGTGAGATAAATGACTGCAGCCTGAAAGAATTGAATGTCCTTGTAAGCAATGCTTCACTCTGCCAAGAGAGCTATGCAAACTAGAATTAGTGGCCAAGTGAGGAATAAAGTCATGCTTTTATTAATAGCTGAGAGAGTGCCCATTAATACTACCCTCTGGATGGGGGGAAGAGCTAGTCTCTGAGAATAGTGTGGAAACACAACACTCGTGCTTCAAAACAGAAGTAAGCATGGCCACCTCAGCTGTCCATCCCCAGATCTGTAAAGCCAATGCAGAACCCAGTGTCTTTCTTCCTTTCATTTTTTCTTTCTTTACTTCTTTCTTTTCTTTTCTTCCTCCTTTCTTTCTTTCTCTATATTTTTTTCTTTTTTAATTTTCTTTTTTGATTATTTTAACTACATAACATTAGGATTCATTCTGACATAATAAAAGCACAGAATATAGTTGGCTCTAATTCATTCCCCAATATTTCCCTTTCCCTTCCCTATCCCTCCCCTTGTTCCCTTCCATAT